AAAGAGAGAAGGAAGGTGAGATATCTGCATCCCTCTCAAATCTTCTCTCTCAAGCCCTCAGCCTTATCTCTGTGTATCTGGGTTTGGAGCAGAGATTGTAAGAAATGTTTTTATTAATCTTTCCACCTTCTGCCTCAGTGTAACCAGCACTCATCTCAGAGTTGCAGGAGATCTGAGGTTTTAAGACTCACCTTAATCTCTAACATTAAATCTTGGGCACAAGTGCCAGCTGCTGTAGCTCAGCGACAAACAACTCTCCTCAGCCTTGGTGCACTTAAGCCAGGCAAAGCACAGGACCTCACTGCCCAGCCACAGTTTGGGGGGATTGTCTGAATTTTGGAGCAGGGATGGGCTGGAGGTGTCTGGGTGTGCCTTAAGAGGGAGGTTGCACAGTCAGGATCTTATGATGGCTAGGCTTAGGTTTGGCTGGTCCTGGAGGTCCCCTTCCACCAAAGGGAAGGTGGAAGGGGACCTCCACCTCACTTGGGATGTTCCCAACCTCTGTGGGTTGAGGAAAATTCACGGAAATAGTCTCGTGGTTCTGCCTGGCCTCAGGGTCCAGGAATGAAGTGCAGGGCCAGCCAGGACTAGTGAGCCCAAGTTTCTGGTAGTGACTCTCAGCGATGATTTCTGTTTTGTTTGCTGAAGGGAGCTGAAGCAGCTGGCTCAAAAGCTTGAGGAGGCAAAAGCCTTAGAGGAGGAAGAAAGGCGGAAGGAGGAAGAGAGGCAGAAGGAGGAAGAGAAGCAGAAGAAGGAAAAAAAGGGTGTCTCTGTGAGGAAGCAACCTCCAAAAGCAGAGAAGGAGAAAACCAAACCCTCAGAGAAGAAGGAAACCAAGCCCCCAGAGAATAAAACTAAGCCTCCAGAGAAGGAAACCGAAGCCCCGGAGAATAGGGAAACCAGACCCCCAGAAAATAAGGAAACCCAAACCCCAGAGAAGAAGGAAACCCAAGCCTTAGAGAAGAAGGAAACCCAGGCCATAGAGAAGAAGGAAACCAAAGCCCCAGAAAAGAAGGAAACCAAACCCCCAAAGAAGATGGAAACCAAAATCCCAGAGAAATGGAAATACAAAGCCCCAAAGATGTGCAAAATCACAATCCCAAAGAAGGGGGAAGCCCAAGCCCTAAAGAAGGGGGAAGCCAAAGCCCCAAAGAAGGGGGAAAACAAAATCCCAGAGGACCCAGCTGAGATGGAGAATAACTTGATCCTGAGGTTTCAGATCTATGAGTCATCACAGCAGAACGTTGCACAGGTTTTCTCCTACTGGGACAGGGTTCAGGGTACCGTGCAGTTACCTGTGATCCAAAAGGGAAACAAGTCCCAGTCTTCAGCTGAAAACAAAGGTCAGAAGACCAATAAGCCTCAGGAGAAGGTGGAGAAGAAGCCTGAACAAAAAAGTGGACCTCACTGCCCAGCCACAGTTTGGGGGGATTGTCTGAATTTTGGAGCAGGGATATGAGCACCCCAGTATCTCCTGGGATGATAGACTGGGTCAGGAAAAGCTGTGAATCCTTGCAGCTGACCCAGAGCACCCAGCTCTGCTTGCAGTCACTCATGGTTTCTCCTCTGGTTTGTGCTAAAGAGCTGCAGTGGGAAAAAGCTGTGCACAGGATTGCAGAACGTGTCTTGCAAGTAGATGAGGAAGAGTATGATGCCCTTCCTAAAGAGAAGAAAGCAGAAGTGGATAAAATAATACTGGAAAAGAAGCGCATATGGAGGAAGAGGTGAGTAAGCCTTCCATGGATCACTGCTCTTCCATGGGTTACTGTCCCTGGAGGGCTTCCCTGCTCCAAGGACTCTGAGCTCAGAGGGGCTGGATAGCAAATGCCAGAAGCAACACAGGGATGGTCACTCTTAGCTGCCTGGCTCCCAAGAGAGGAAGGACCTTCTTCTGTTGAGACAGAACATCTTCTCTATTTCAGTGGTGAGCCCTCCTGGTTTAGATGCTGCCTGCAGGGAGCTGGGCTCTGGGCTTACCTTGGCACTGCCTGTAGAGGTGTCTTTAAGTCCATGGTGTTGAGTCACACCTTCTTCATCATCTCCCTTCTTCACCAAAACAGTGGGATTGTGGTATGGGCAGGTGTGGGGCACAGACCAAACCTTGGTTTGGGTCCTGGTGCTGCCACAGATGAAGTCCTTACACTGCTGATCTGCCAGGGTTCTCCTTATGGTGGGACACCACTCCTGTCCTTTAGGCTCCCCTTCAGCTGCAGCAGTAGGCAAGCACAGGAGAAGCTCTGCTCCAGCAGGGCAGCCCAGCTCAGGACACACAAAGTGTGCAGCTGGGAGTGGAGGCTGCTTAAAGCAAGCCTGTGTGCCAGGACTTCCTTCAGCCCAGGCTGAAGGTGGTTTCATGGGGATGAGACAGATGAGGCTGCTTCAGATCGATTCCATGGCAGACAGCCCCAGTTTGCTTGGTCACAGCTGGGTTCCAGCAGGAAATCTGGCTGACAAGAGCCTGTCTTGCAGGAGAGGAGCTCCTGCAGCCTTTGCTTTCTGACTGACAGGATTATTCTCCTTAAGGAGCAGGCTATGCCCAGGGAGAAGGGGGCTGAATGAGCTGAGTAAGGATTGTAGGAGAGAAAAGCAGATGTTAGCAATTTGTGATCTGCTTTAAACTGGGAAATCAAGAGACAAAGAGCGTTTTCGGGCATCAGTGCAGAGAGCTGGTGGATCAGCCTTTGGCACTGGGCTGGAGGTGTCTGGGTGTGCCTTAAGAGGGAGGTTGCACAGTCAGGATCTTATGATGGCTAGGCTTAGGTTTGGCTGGTCCTGGAGGTCCCCTTCCACCAAAGGGAAGGTGGAAGGGGACCTCCACCTCACTTGGGATGTTCCCAACCTCTGTGGGTTGAGGAAAATTCACGGAAATAGTCTCGTGGTTCTGCCTGGCCTCAGGGTCCAGGAATGAAGTGCAGGGCCAGCCAGGACTAGTGAGCCCAAGTTTCTGGTAGTGACTCTCAGCGATGATTTCTGTTTTGTTTGCTGAAGGGAGCTGAAGCAGCTGGCTCAAAAGCTTGAGGAGAAGGAAAAAGCCTTAGAGGAGGAAGAAAGGCGGAAGGAGGAAGAGAGGCAGAAGGAGGAAGAGAAGCAGAAGAAGGAAAAAAAGGGTGTCTCTGTGAGGAAGCAACCTCCAAAAGCAGAGAAGGAGAAAACCAAACCCTCAGAGAAGAAGGAAACCAAGCCCCCAGAGAATAAAACTAAGCCTCCAGAGAAGGAAACCGAAGCCCCGGAGAATAGGGAAACCAGACCCCCAGAAAATAAGGAAACCCAAACCCCAGAGAAGAAGGAAACCCAAGCCTTAGAGAAGAAGGAAACCCAGGCCATAGAGAAGAAGGAAACCAAAGCCCCAGAAAAGAAGGAAACCAAACCCCCAAAGAAGATGGAAACCAAAATCCCAGAGAAATGGAAATACAAAGCCCCAAAGATGTGCAAAATCACAATCCCAAAGAAGGGGGAAGCCCAAGCCCTAAAGAAGGGGGAAGCCAAAGCCCCAAAGAAGGGGGAAAACAAAATCCCAGAGGACCCAGCTGAGATGGAGAATAACTTGATCCTGAGGTTTCAGATCTATGAGTCATCACAGCAGAACGTTGCACAGGTTTTCTCCTACTGGGACAGGGTTCAGGGTACCGTGCAGTTACCTGTGATCCAAAAGGGAAACAAGTCCCAGTCTTCAGCTGAAAACAAAGGTCAGAAGACCAATAAGCCTCAGGAGAAGGTGGAGAAGAAGCCTGAACAAAAAAGTGGAGACCAAAGGAGTCTTCAGTCATCTCAGCTGGATACACAAAGTGAAGTTGCAGAGGGGGCAGTCAGAGAAGAGCATGTTGGGGTGCCGTGCCTGGACATCCAGGTCTCAGATCCAAAGGCCATGATCAGAGAGATCCTGAGGGAAGGGAAGCTGCCAACAGAAGATGAGGTAACACCCTGCACGGCTCAGATCTTGAGCTTGCTGTGGTCTTGGGCCCTGGAGCATTGTGTCCCCCCAGGTGATAATGGCACAGAGCCTTGTCCAGGTCCCTGATGACTCCACAATGTTCTCTATCATCTGTGTGGATGGAGAGGTTATCACCATTCCTCAGATGGGTAGGAAGTGGGAGTGCTCTGTGTACAAGTATCCCATCTGTTCAGGCTTTCCCAGCCTGGAAATCATAAACCATCCCAGGACAGGGCAGCCCACAGTCATTGTTTTCTACAGCTGAGTCACATAGGAGAGGTTTCTCTCCCGGTCCTGCTTGTAGCTCTTGTGTCTGCTCTGGAGCCTGCTCACCCCACTGGGCATAACAAAGCACCTGTGCTTCATGTAAATTAAAAACCCCATTGCCAAAAGCTCAGTGCCTTTAAAGGAGTTGTAAGGATGAAGGTGACAGAAGTATAAACAGGATTTTGCCTTCTGTTTTAGATGCTGAAACATGTGGGACTGCATCCCGACGGCCCTCCCCTTCCCCCCGGTGGTGTGCTCTCCATAGTGGAGTACCCAGAGGAGAGGTTGGGCTCTGCAGAGCGTGTGGAGCCCTTCACCATTGTGGCACCTGAAGGTGCTGCTGTGGAAGACAGTCTGGTGGGTGCTGCAGTGGTGCTGGCGCTGAAGGCTAGACAGGGACATGGGGGACAGTTTGGATGGAAAGGGAGCATTGTGGAGAAGTAGTGAAGATGTGATGGGGCCCTGTGTCTGCAAGTCTCCTTTCTGTCAGGGATGGGAGAAAAGAGACAGCTCTGCTGGAGACAGAGCAGTTCTGTAAGACAAAAGGGAAAAAACCCACTTAAAACCATGAACTTCCTTTGAGGAGAGGGTCCTGAGTGAGAAGGGGGGTCCTAGGCAAAACAAACACCAATAAGGAAGACCAAGTCCATGGGCAGGTGGATTTATTTATTTCTGGAAGGCAGATGGTACCTCAGCCACCAGGAAGGGTTTTGGCTTTCTGACTGCATTTCCTACTTGGAGCATCTCATATCCTTCCCCACTTTCTCTGCCCAGGCTGGTGTTTCCACAATGGAGGGAGACCATGGAGGCAGATGAAGTCATCTTCAAGGAATATGTTGAGAGCACAAAGCAATTCCACTTTGGACCACTGCTGTGTGGGAAATCAAGAGAGTGGTACGTGCTCCCTGCTGGGCCTTGTACTTTTCTGGACACGCCTGGAGAGACAGGCTGTCCTGGTGGCACAATCCAGGGCAGTCCCCGGCAGAGTCCTGGGAGACACATGGGTTTGAAGGACCACAGATATGTGAACTGGAGCAGATGAGAGGCAAGTGAGCCTTGGAGGAGCTGCTCTGCCTACCCAGAGCCGCATGCTGCTGCCAGTCCAAAGGTGACTTGGGGGGCAACTTTTGTGTCCCCCCACGTCAGCTTCAACCCATAGGAAATTAACTTCATGGTGCTTTTTGAAGTGCTTTGAGCTCTGCAGGTATGAAATGCTGAGATTCATTGCCTTTCTTTGATGTTCACTTTCTTTATTTTTCTGAGACTCTGTAAAGAAGTGAATGAAAAATTTCAATGTCAAGGTTTCTTGCAGTAACCTTGTGATTGTCTGCACTCTCTGTCAAGATCCAGGACTCCCTGAGCAGAGCTGGATTCTCCCTGTGGTCTTGTGCAAAGTCCTGGCTGTGCTGGTGGCACCTGTACGTTTAACTGCAGAGATCTCCATTCCTTCCCTTTCCCCCCAGTTTCACCCTGAAGGGTGCAGGTCCCAGGACACGAGATGTGGCATCCCACTTCACTGTTGCACCTCAGTCAGGCGTCCTGATTGCCTCCCAGCCTGGTGTGAATGTTGAGATCCTCTTCCACCCCACAAGTGAGATGCTCCTCAAGAACAAGCCCATCCTGTACTGCCAGGTGAGCTGCCTGGGCCAGGCTGAGTTATCACGCGGTGTTTTGGGAGCGTAAACAGGATAAGTGTCTCATGGAACAAGGGCTTTACTGGAGAATCCTCTCTCCAACATACACAAACAAAGTCTTTCAATACCATTTGGGAGGCTTCCTAAGTGGAGCTGAGAATCTGACTCTGGAGGAGGTGCTTAAACAGGGAGGGGTAAACTGGAGGAGGCTGGGGACTGGGGTAGAGGCAGGCCTCTTTATTGTTTACCACCTTTTCTGTGGACACAGGTGATAGATGCCAGCTCAGGTGAAGGAGGCCAGGCTGTCGCCATCATCCCAGTGAATGTGTCAGCAAAAGCTGTGTACAGCAAGTACAGCATTGAGCCTGCCTCACCCATCAACTTTGGAGCCATGATCAAGGGCACCAAGAAGACCCAGACTGTTGTGCTGGAGAACAAAGGCATGCTCAACTTCAAATTCTACATCCGCCAAGTACCCGAGGAGACATCTACATCAGAAAGCAAGAGGTATGAGAAGCCCTGACCACCCTTCCTGTCTGAGGAGGCACCACCCCACGGCTGGTATGTGGCAGGCAGCCAGGAGACCTGGACTATCATCCATTTGCATCCCTGGCTTGGGGAGAGGGGGCTGAAAAAGGCCTCGGTATCTGCATGTGTAGTATGAAGCTGGTGATAGAACTGCTCAGTCCAGCAATGGGAGCTGCTGGCTGCTCTCTGGGAGCCATCAGGAGCAGAAAGGCTTTCCTCTCAGAGGAGGAAGGCCAGCTTTGGCCTCGGAGAAAGGCAGGGGAGCTCAGCATGACAGATACCTCTGCTTTCTCCTCTCAGTTCAAAGCAAGGGGAATCTGCTCCACTGGCTACAAAGCAATCAACAGCAAGGAAACCAAGCTCCTTGACACAGGTGGGTGACTCCTGCTCCCCAGCAATGCTGCTGCAGGGGATGTGAGAAGATGCTGCTGTGCCCAGGCTGGGGGCTCATCGTCACAAGGTGGGATGTGGTCTGCAAGACCAGTATCTGCTCAGTCCCACTGACAGTCCTGTACTCTGGCTCTGACCTGGAGCTGTGGGGTCAACAGAGGGGAGCAGGTCCTGTGTTTGGTAGTTGCTAGCCAGCATAGGTCTGTGAACACCTCAGAAGCAAAAGCATCCCCCACTGAACTCCCAGTCCACAGAGCTCAGACAACACTGCTTTTTCTTCTTTGCAGTCCCCTATCTCTCTCCTGTGATTTCTCACAGCTATTTCTGCTCTCCTCTGTTACCTACGGAGATTGAAGGATCACAGCTACCACCTTCATTCTTTACTCTCAAATTCCTTTCTCTCTGCCCCTTGGGACAGATTTGCAGCTCCTCTTGTCTTGCTGCTCTCAGTCTGGGGCTGCTTTTGGGCCATGAAGTCATCCTTCCTTGCTCTGGGACTGGGTGCTTGGGCCAGGCAGGACATACTCTTTGCTGGGGTGCTCAAGGCACAGCTGTTAGCCGTCAGCCTCTCCTGGACCTTTTTCTGCAGAGTCACCTCAGTCTTGGCATGTTCACGGTGTCCCCCTGCTCCGGCTCCATCAGTCCGTGGGGCCAGCAGAAGATCACAGTGGAATGCCTCGCAGGGCAGGAGGGGACATGTGAGGAGCAGCTCTACATTGACATCCCGGGCAGAGACCCCAGGGACAATCCCCTCGGCATTCCCTTCACCCTGATTGCCGAGTCCTGCCTCACAGGTACATACTGCCCACAGTGCCCTTGGTCACACCTGCTGCTGATCAGCACCTAAACTTGCTGCTTGGATAGAGAGGCATGCTAGCCCTGGTGTCCCACCTTAAAATCCTCAGAGGTTCCAGCCCTCTTCAAGTCCACCAGTGGACTCATCCCCCCCAGGCTGAGAGGGATGCATGGAAGGATAAAAGGAAAGCAATGCTCTCTAAGACTGAGGCTGACTGGGCTCCATCCTCCCAGCCAGCTCCCCCACCCAAGGCTGGGTTTAGCAGTCACCTGGGCAGAAAGGGCTTATCAAGCCTTCTGAGAGGCCAGCAGGGTCCAGACAAACTCATCAGGGAGGCTTCTCCATGCTCACCCCTCTGGTCTGTCCACAGCACTTGTTGAGGACATCACGTTGATCTTCAAGGAGTACTTGATCTGCAGCAGCACCGACCTCAGCCACAAGCTGCAGTCGGTGAAAGGCACGGGCCTGTTCATCGGAGATGAGAACAAATTCATCTTCAACAAGGTTCTGGTTGGGCAAGAGGCTGAAGCTCATTTCAGTATCTACAGTGCAAGCCGTCTGCCATGTGACGTGGTTCTCTCCATCAAACCCCTGCCTGGAAAGGTAAGAACAGGAGGCCAAGGTGGTGGCTGCCCTCTGAGGGCCATGTGAGAGCCTGTTTTGTTCTCCAGATGCATTGCTGCCTGTGGCCCAGACTAGGTTAGCTCAGTGCAGGTCAAACTGCTGGGAAAAGCAGCAGAGCCAGGGAACAGTTGTGTGGAATTCTGCATGTCTTGGGCCAGGTTTTGGCTCACACCTGTGTGTCTTTGGTGGGAGAAGTGAGTCCTTCTGAACCTCTCTTGGAAGCACACGCAGAGAGGGGCTGTTATAAACTGACATGCCAGGGCTCAAAGCAGAGCATTTCCTCAGGCTCCCTGGCTTTTCCTTCTCTTTGAAGGCCAGCTCTAGGTTATTTGCAGGGTCTTCCATGCACCTCCCATATAGGCTGGGGCAGCTTCCAGCATTCAAAACACCCAATGCTTTAGCACAAGGTGAGCATTCCCTGGGAGGACGGGAGCCTGCCCAGGGAAGCAGGAAGGAAGACACACTGTCTGGGGCTGTTCTCAGTAATGCATTTATGATAAAGCTGTGTCATCTTGAAAGGTGTTTTCTCCTAACACTGCTCTCTGGGTTCCCCCAAGGAACAAATCCCTATCAACAACATTTTCAAGTTGGATCCAGTCAAGATGTCAGTTCCTGGCTCATCCTATGCCGTTGCTACAGTGACCTTCACCCCACCAGATGAGCAGAACTACGACTGCACCTTCAAGGCTTCCCTTGACATCCCAAAAGGGTAACTGACCATGTGAAATATTGGGGGAGGCCACACTGATAGCTGCCTCTCCACTGGGAAGGCACAGACCTCTTGTTAGCTCTAATGCTTTCAGTAGCCTTAGGCAGAGTACTTGGCATGAGATGAGTTGGGAGTAACTCTTAGAGCAGAAAAATGAGGCTGATGGTTTATTCTGTATGAAGAACTATGAATACAGGGAAATAAATACTAGGTAGGTATTTGGAAGTTACTGAGATGTGCTGCAGCTCAGCTGGGCATTTCCAAGGACAAAGGTTTAGATAAAGCAGTTTCTGTGCCAGCAATCAACAGTCACATTTTCCTCTTTGTTTCTGTAAAATTAAGTGATCCTCTGTGATTCCCTGGCATTCATTAAGCTTTTTTTATGTGAGTGATTTGAGCTGGTATGAAAGAGGAGCCCAGTTCCTCTGCCCTGGGACTGGGGCTTTGACCTGCCCTTCCTCAACCCTTTAGTGGCTGAATTGGAACGAGAGAAGTCTAATTGCTAATAAGCAATTGCTTTTTTACTGTTCTTGGAAATGATCTTTGCTGATGGTGACGATGATTTATTTTTGCCCTCTTGCTTTTGAACTGCTTTCATGCTGTGCTTTTGCTTGTTGCATAAGTCTCACCTCACCGCAGCCAGGGCATCTGCCATATCTCATCTGTGCCTCATTATTTACCTGCTGTATTGCATGATTCAATTAAGTGAAATTATTTTTAACTGTTATTGTGGAAGGCTCTGGCTCTTTGGAGCAGGTTCCTCTTGTGAATGGCCCTGAGTGGATTGGGAAGAGGCTGGTGAGGGGGCTGTGTTGTGGGGTGCAGGAGCACCAGGCAGGGAAAACACTGTGAGTGGCCCTCAGTGCTTTGCTTACCCAGTGAGAAATGGGTTAGTGCCAGCTGAAATTGTTTCTGTGCCTCTCCTGCAGCTATGTGGAAATTAAACCCCAAATCCTGACCTTCACCATCAGTGGGAAGGGGCAGAAGCTGCCAGTGACAGTCGTACGCCCAAGTGCTCGCAGCAAGAGGGGAACGGCCGTGCTGCGCTTCAAGAGGCTCCGGGTGGGGGATTCAGAGATGCTCCCCCTGGACATCCATAACGACGGCATCGTACCCGTCAAGGTGAGGAGGACCTGCTCAAGGAATGGTCTGGTTTGGGAACAAAGGCTTGTGGCACAGGGGAAGGGTCCCAAACAGCAAGGCAGACATGGGAAGAGTCACCGTTGAGCCCGAAATGACGCAAACTCACCAGGGGACTGAATTGCAGAAGTTTAATACAAGAAGCTCTCTCTCTTTTTATAGATGGTTTGACACATTCTACTTGATTGGCTAATTACCAAAAACACCTTTCTCACAAACAGTCCTTGAGAAGAACAGAAAAAGAGTAGAAAAGCACCACCTGCAGGTTGTTTATACTAACAAGTTATCATAATTTCTACAACTCCCTAAAAGGTCTCACAAGCCGCTGTGAGAAACGCATGTTGTTTCTCACTCTCTGACCAGGCTGTCATCCACAGGGCAGAGGTGTCAGAAATTCTTTTTAAGCAAGTGACTGACATCTGTTCTCCAAGAAGGGAGTTCTTGGAAATTTTCTGTCCAGTCTGTCTTCTTTAAGTTGAACACAAGAAAGGTGACATATATATATATATATAATCTCAGGTCACCTTTTGTTCTCATAGACATGTGTGATTTCCCAGTTCCATTAGATTGTATTTGATCCCAGTTTACTACATTTTAAGTAGACTTAGATGTGGTTTAATTACATTCTGCTCATCACTTTCTGTCCTGTTTGGTTCTGTGTCAGTTCTGTCCAGATGCCTTTGAACACCCTTTTTTCTCAGCTGATTTGACTTTTGTGCTAAGTGCTGTTAGTAGTGGGAGAGGCGCTGGGTGGCCGTGTGGGACCAGCAGCACTGTGGTGTCAGTCCCTGTGCCATCCTGTACTCACACCAGCATCATTGTGCTCTGGGTTCCCCTTTCTCAGTTTATGTTACGCCTGGAACACGAGTACGGAGCGTTCTTCTTGAAAGGCAGGGACTCCACACTCAAGGTATTCCACACTGAAGATGTGGAAGAGGACTCCACTGGAAACGGTAAATTCATTAACCATGAAGTATGATCATGCACAGAGGGAAAATGTGTGCTCTGCTCTTGGCTTCTCTGAGCCACAGCCAGATGTTAGGTACAGTTTTGTTCCTTGGGCTCTCTGTGCCCCAAGCTTTTCCTGGGCCTTTTTGCAGGGTTTCCTCCTAGCAAGTTGTAGGCAGTTCTTCTGTTCTTCTAGACATGGTGGGTTGACTTGTGGGGGACTGTCACTACCTCAGTGGACCCTCTGAGGTATTTGCTGCATGTAGGAAGGTACCAACCTGAACAGACACAGCCCTTGAGCCCACAGCCAGCCAGCAGAAGCCAAAAGCACTCTGGCTTAGCTTTGCATATGGCTGGAGCTGGCTGGAAGCAGAT